AACTACTAATTTGCAAAACAAAAGCATCCTCATTGCTCAGTGATTTATTAAACATTGCTTTGTTTATCACATTGATGTTGCACAAACAATAAAACACCAAGCGATTGATTTTTTTAGCCACACATGAGGCTTTAAACTAACATCAAAGAAAATGACGTGAGCATATAGACCCAGAAGATTAAGGGACAGTTCTCCTATAATATGATGAAATTATGTCATCATTTACTCATCTTCCACTTGACCTCTTTTAGTTACTTGTGTTCTTCTGTTGACCACAAAAGAAGATATTTTGAAGAATGTTAAAAAAAAAAAAAAACAACGGCAGACTTCCATAGTATTTTTAGTTCCTATTATGGCTGCTTTTTTACAACATTCTTCAAAACATCTTATCAAAAACAGCCTCATTGCTCAGTGATTTATTAAACATTGCTGTGTTTGCTGTTGCACAAACAATAAAACACCAAGAGATTGATTTTTTTTAGCCACACACGAGACATTAAACTAACATAAAAGAAAACGACATGAGAAATCATTTTGCTTCACTTGCATTTTCTCCTCCTTTTGGAGCCTAATAAAATCCCCGGCCGTAAATACACCCTATACTGTCCCCTCAGAAAATGTGCTCAAACTACTCGCTTTCCCCCTTCGCATCCTGACACAACAGTTTCGGCATAGTTGTTGTCTCCTCTCCTCCCTCATTTCCTGTGCAGAAAAGTGCAGACTTTGCATTCGTGTTTGCGTTGTGACAAGGAGACATTCATCACATAATGAACTGATGGAAGCTGCTGGAAAGCCTAAATAGAAAGCAAAGACCGGCCCGGACTCAGTTGACTGCTGGTAATTTAGGCTGAGAGCTCAGGTAATGCTGTATTATTAGGCAGATAGCAGAGGAGGATAAACCTGCTGGAGCTGACAGTGTTTCTTGATGCAGGTCAAAGCATCACTGTAGTACTGTACCGTAGACCACAGCTTATATGGAGAGCGCGCATGTGTGTACTGAGATGTTGGCTGGTGCTCTGCTGCCATCTAGTGATGTTTAAGCCAGATATACATGATAAAATACTACACTTTTGTCTTTTTTTACAATACAATACAACATAAAACGTTATTGTCAGACCTGCATCTGATTTTTTTTCTTGAATAACAGCATGATAAATACTTCTTACAGTCAAACGCATACAAAAAAAATGATTTTACAAGGAACTTGTGACACTTTCGGATAGCCAGTGGAAAAAAAGAGCCTCAAGACGAATAGATAATTTCAGACTCAAACCTTTATAGTCAGCCTCCTTTAGCGTCACAAGGATTACACTTCAAAAACACAAAATAAAAGTAAACAATATCTAAAAGTTGAGCATTTTGACGGGAGAGCAGCGCACACACTCTTTTCTCCCTCTTCTCACACACGCAGACTGACTCCCGCAGCGCACACACTCGGGTGTTGGGGTGCAGCTCTTAAAGGGCAACACACATACATAATGAGATCCATACACATTGTAGTGGACGTTACAAACTTATTCAGCTCCAAGACAACCTCATGTACAAATGACTTTTAATTTCACTCCTTTAAAACTTGGGGCTCTAAATTGACGGTTACACTTTAATAGGGAATATGCCGAGCTAGTGTTTTTCCCATACTGACTTCCGGTGACCTGTTATTGTAATTTTTTTTCAGTTTATACGATTCCTTTTACAGCATCGATGTTGTAATGTAAATAAAATACATTTAATTAAATAAACTTTGGCATTCATTTAGTTGCTCATGCGTAAAACGAGACAAAAAGCCGTTTACTCGCACACATCTGTCAGAATCGACAGGCTAGCCCAGAATCTCCATTGAATATACTGGGGTAAATAAATGCTCATATTATAAAGACGTGTCGGGGGGAATGTAATGTAATGCAGTGCTTCTTGTACAATCTGAGACCCACTTTATATCGGATATCGCTCAGCTAGTGGAGATCGCAGATTTTTAAAGGAAACAGACCTTAAACGTGCCGATTTTTGCATTAGCATTCGTTGACCAGAAGCGGTTAACCCAGGTTACAGGCAAATTTAAAGTCCTATTCGCATGCTCCGGCATATACCCTATAGCAAAAAATGACATTTTTAGGTGAATTATACCGTATAAATACTTTATGTGACTCATTCAACATCATTTGGAGGTGTCAATGTCGCTGAGCAACGTGTGTGAAACAATGAAAAGACTCGTGCAGCCACCTTTTCTTCTCTCCTGAACTTAAAAATATGATTGGCAGAATCGTAAAAATGCTGGATTAAGATTGTCTAGGGCAGGGGTGGCCAATCCTGTTCCTGGAGAGCCACCTTCCTGCAGATTTCAGTTGCTACCCATATCAAACACACCTGAACCAATTAATTAGGGCCTGAACGCCACGTGATAATTACAGGCAGGTGTGTTTGATATGGGTAGCAACTGAAATCTGCAGGAAGGTGGCTCTCCAGGAACAGGGGTGGCCACCCCTGGTCTCGGGAGTTGAATCGAGATTGCGATCTTTTAACGCAGGGGTGTCAAACTCAATTCCTGGAGGGCCGAAGCCCTGCACAGTTTAGTTCCAACCCTGCTCCAACACACTTACCTGTAGGTTTCAAACAAGCCTGAAGGACTCAATTAGTTTGATCAGGTGTGTTTAATTAGGGTTGGAACTAAACTGTGCAGAGCTGCGGCCCTTTTGGAACTGAGTTTGACACCTGTGTTTTAACAATTAATTGTGCAGCTCTACTAGCAAGCAATATACCCTTTTTTTTTTTTTTACGGTCAAAAACTTTCCCATACCTGACCATACCATACCATGCTCTTCCTCGCTTAAGCCTGGTTTATACTTCTGCGTCAAGTGACCGGCGCAACTCACGGCGCAGGCAACGCGCGCAGCTGTGCATTTAT